CCAATCAAATACTGCCCCAGATAGAGTATGAAGCATAGATATGGGACATCTAAATCTTTCAGGACGTACTATCTGGCACTAAGTTTAGACGAGCAATCTAAAACATTCTGAATTCTAGACTTTCTGAGCGGTCAGAAAAATAAGACGAATTCACAGTAACTGTCCAACTTACTGTTGCCTTTGTGGGTACAGTTCTCTCTCCAACCCCCTGGAGAAGAGCTACCTCATGGAATGGGTCTGAAGCCAGTTAGCACCATTAAATTGAAAGAAACTAGCCGATAATTCTCCCTGCATACACCCCTGTCCTTACTAGTGTGGTATTGATCCCCACTAATGATTTAGTGATTAAGGAGGATAGATTGCCTATGAATACAAAGCAAGCTGAAAGGCTTCCAGGAAGACAGCTGAGCATTTTTTAAAATCAATAATTACTGTATGTGCACATATAATTTCAACCCAGCATCCTACACCACCTCGGATGTCACTTCTACATCGAGTGTGCTGTTTTCAGCACTTGCTTACCTTGCTCTCTTTTGACAACCTCTGATTTCCTCTTCTGTTACCTTTTCGCCTTGGACAATGGCCCAAGCTCTCTCTATTTAACTGCTTTCCAATTGTCAGACCATATTTCTAAGAGTCCTTCATTATGAATTAACATATGCAAGCACAAAACCAGCTGATTTTCAGGATACGATATATTTGACTGTGTGTGGGGTTCATGATAAATATCCCTTTTGGGGTCATGCCTTAGCTTCTAGGCTGGGAAAACCACACAATGAGTGTGGTTTCATAAACATTCTCTGAAAGATGTAAGTATTGAAATAAAAATATAAAAAGTTGTTTTCTTAAAAGCTGGCACCAGAATTTTTCTGGACAAACTGGTCTTCAAAAAGTGTGTGGTCCCTAAAAGCCCGATTGTTGGAGAAGCCAAAACAGCAAAATAAAAAAGCTTGCTAAACTTTTTGCTCTGCATGACAGAAGAAAGAAAATTTGCTCCTGAGAGAGGATGGGAGAGAAGTTTGGAGTACAAGGAAGAACAGAAAGAGAGAGAGAAGAGGCAAGAAGATGGAGAGAAATTAAAATTATAATTAGGGAGAAGTTCACAAAATTTTAACAGTAAATACACTCTCCTATATTTTGTGATTATTGATTTGAGGTTATTATGTAAACCAGTGGTTCTCTAAGTGAGGTCCCAGACCAGCAGCATCACCATCTCCTGGGAACTGGTTAGAAATGCAAATTCTCAGGCCCCATCCAAGATCCATCTGACCTGAGGGTGCTGCACAGAAATCTGTTTTAGCAAGTCCTCTAGGTGATTCAGATGTGCTCCAAGTTTGACAGCCAAAGTAAATCTTTTTTCCCTCACCCTCCACATTAACTTGCAAAAATGTCTAGACATTCATATATGTTTTGTGGGACTGTTTTTGTTGTTTCTGAGGCAGCATAGATGCCAATACTGGGAGAAATGAGATTCCTAGAGGTAGAAATGGCCATAAGGACAGAAATACCCAAGGCATTTGCAGAAATGTTTGACCTTTCATAGGCCAAGAATTAAGACAATTGCAGAGTTTCCCCTGTGTTCTGGGGAGCAGGGAGAACCCACTTGCCATGTTTCTGTAATAAGCCTGGTTCCTACTTCCAACTCTCATGTCTTCTCTATCAAGCCTCCGATACTCCCTCCTTTCTTTTTGTTCTTCACAGATGTCTTTGCTTTACACTTCACTGAGAAAAAGAGAACTACTAAATGGCAACAGTGTCATTCTCCTTCTCCTCCTTGATTCAGTGGAATCTAGAAAACCTGTGCTTTTGCCCATCTCCTACTTTGCTCTTGTCACAGTAGAGGATGGATAGCCCCATCTATCAAGCCCTTCATCTGTTTCCTGGATCCCATCCACTCAAGGATTTCACTCTGAAAGTCAGTGCTACTCAACCCTGGCTCCAAGAGTTACCTGCAGAGCTTTTTAAGAACTCTAAAGCTCCAGACAAATTACCTCAGAATGTCTGGGTGGGCAGACTACATTAGTAGTTTTTAGAGCTCCCCAGGTGATTCCAATGTGAAGCCAAGAATGTCAACTACTGCCCTCTCTGGGCAGCACACTTTCTTTTTCTTGGTTTGTCTCTATCATTATAAAATTATGCCCACTCTCTCCAGTCTTTTAAAAAAGATCTCCTTTGATCTTCATGTCACCATCTCGGTTTCACGGGAAGTCTTCCTAAGGAGAATGACAATACCTGCTATCTCCACTTCTTCAACTCTTATTACACTGCAGCCCATGCCCATCTTTCCAGCTTCTGTCTCTGGTAAAACAATCCCTTTAAGTTCCCTAATTACTTTTGTATTTTCACAATGTATGACCACTGTTTTTCCTTATCCTATTCAACTCACCAGCAGCATTCCAAAAAGCTAACTACTGTCTTCTTGAATCAACCCATATATCTGGCTCTGTGATACCATGCTCTTCACAATGTTGGCTACTTCTCAGTCTAGACTCTTCTCCTTTGTCTAGATGCTGTTGATGACACTAAGTCCATTTTTGCTCCTCTTTAAACATCCCCACTAGCTCCTGGTGGTGCCAATATTTACATCATTAGCTCAGCCATCTCCTTTGATCTCCAGGTTCACTTATTCAAGAGCCTACTTGACATTTTCACTTGCATGTTCCACAGGTATCTCTAAATTAACATTTCTAGATGTAACTCTGTTGGTCAACCAGACACCCAGATTTACTCTTTGATTCTACCCTCTTCTTTACCTCCCATGTTTAATCTCTCTGCAATTTCTGTTTTAAATCCAAAGTGGATCTCCAATCCATTCCCTTCTCATCTCCATTGCTATCATTGCGGTCCAGTCCATGATCATCTTTGTTCTGTGCCCAGTTTTCAAACTGATCTCTCTGGTTTTATTCTCATCTTCTTCCAGTGATACCTAGGGGAGGTTCCTCTGCTCCTTTTCTGTAATGCAGAATCTAACATTAAGGCCATGTTATCTCTATATCTAGGTGACTCTTCTTGAACAGAAGTACCCAGAAGCTGCTTATCATGGATACAACTGAAGACAAGGATGTAATCAGGTAGTCAAAGGTTATTAGACTATCCACTTCTGAAATGATTCTCCTGCAAAGTGAATATGTCAGACCACATGACTAACCCTTTTCATCACTAGAAGAGTGGTCACACAAATTAAAAAGCATGTCGATGTGTACCCCATTTTACACAGGTGATATAATCCAGAAAACTGCAAACTAACCAAAGTTTGGACAAATTATATCATTCTTTAAATATGTTAGGGTGTTGGATAGTTATATGATTTTCTTTTTTGTAATGCAAGGAAAGTCAATAACAAACTCCTGGTTTATTTATTTTATAAGTGTGGGTTTTCAAAATTCAATTTTCTAACAATAGATCATCTCCTATGTACTCCTCCATCTTTGACTCCTTTGCTGATTCCGTCTGAATCAGACTTTTAAATGCTGGTGTTGTTTAGGGCTTGATACTACATCTTCCTTCTTTCTTTATGTATATTTTCTCCCTAGGTGCAGATAACTCCTAAATTTATATCTCTATTTCTTCAGATTCATATGTCAGGATACCTGCTTGTCATTTCTATTTGGTATCTAAAGTTATCTCCAATTTAACAGTTTTGAAATTCTTAGTTTACTTACTTCCATCAGTCTTTTCCAATTCTGTAAATAACATCCTATTCACTTAGTTGCAGAATGTCTCCTATCTGGTAGACAAGATTACTACAAACAGGAGTGCACCTTTGAACTAACTGCACATGGCCCAGTTAACATCTCCTTTTGCTATCAACCTTGAACATCTGTCACATAGATAAGATTGTTGGATACAAGATTATAGGAGTGGTGAGTAGTGAGTATAAAGTTAGCTCGGTGCCCTCTGCCAATGCTATTGAAATAGATAATTCAAAGTAAAGGTCAGTAGGATCCAGGTTTATGTTATATATGAGTAGAAAATGTTGTTCATTTATTATCTATGTGTAAGTCCAAATCAACCCTGATTTAAATGCAACGCTCACAAACAAGAATCATTCAAAATTAGCAATAATATAGACCCATTTTGGAAGTTTTAGAGAGCAGTGCGTATGATGTAAGATGATGTGAGAAGTCTCCTGCCCCATAAAAGCTTTTATGTGTTTTAATATATTTTTTTTAAGATCTAAAAGTGGGCCCTTTTCCACCAATGCTACTGCAACATTTGCATCTGCCTCTAGAACTTAAAATCATCTCTTTGCCAAGTATGGAAGCAAGAGGCAGATATAGGAGAGGTAGAGATGAGGATGGGAAGAAAATATTGTATGTGACTGAGTTTTTAAATTGAATCAATAGAGAAAATTCTGGATTTGACCAAGTTTATTTAAATATAACTATATTAAACTTCTGCAGCAGATAGAAAGAAGACTCAAAATAGCAGTAGTAATTAAGTTGTATTATTTTAAAATAAAGTTACATGTTTGCATATCCAGAGGTATAGCTTGTGAAATTTGCATCCATTATGCATATAAATAAATGTGTAGGAACCTTTAGATATTAAGGCTTGCTTTTCTTGAATTAGGGAGATAGAGAAGTTAGGTCCACTATGTACAGGATCAATTTTAATGTGTTTTTCTGAAGCCAAATTATAGATCTTAATAGTTTTGAAAGTCAGGTTTAATAAGCCTATTTCGTTCACAGAACAATTGCAAACACAGAAGTGATGCCATCAACATATAGCTGGACAATTAATTAATTGTGCAACTTTAAGCAATATTCAATTGCCTGCAACAAATGTGTAGCAGCATTAACTTTATATAAACAAATTTTGTCCTCATATACACTGAGGACAAATTTTGCATCTTTTTCTCTCTTTTAATCATGGAAAACAGTGCATATAGAAAAGGAACAGGTCTTCTAGAATAGTTATGCTAATTCTCCCAAAAGGATGCATTGTAAATATATAAACTATTTTTTTTTTAATGAGAAAAATAAATGCCCGCCCTTTACCTTCACACCAAGGATTGAAGAGAATGTACGTGTCTGTTTCTGGGTTTCGGCTGGTGCGGATTATTCCGTAGGGGGTCCAGACGGCAATGTACATGCGGAATTTTCCCACAATGCACTTGGGCGAAGACTGGATAGACAGCCGGACAGACCTGTCGTCTCTCGTGACAACTTTGGCCCCCCACTTGCCCCTTTGCAGTTCCGAAACGATAGGAACTGGGACGTAGGTTCCCTTGTTCTCCTGAGGGTAGCGACCTTGAAAAGAAAGAAGAGGTAGCGTTGAGTAGATTTCACAGAACGACTTTGTTCTCACACTGCTGTTTTATAGCTGAAGGTGAAAAATAATTTGTTAGACTTGAAATCATACGACTTAGGTTGAATTTCATTTCTGCTACCCACTAGCTACATGATGGTAGTCCATTTTCTTAACTTCTTTGAGGCTCAGATTTGTCCTGTCTAGATTTAAAAAAAAAAAAAAGGTACTTATAAGGATTTTTATTGGTTGGTTAAGCCAATAAATTCAAATAAGATGTGAAAATGCTAATCTGGAATGCAAAGTGGAGCTGTGTACTGTGGAGTTGTCTTTCCCTGAAATTCTGCCCTCTAAAAAGTTAGGGGTATAAAGTAATTTTTTTTTGTTTATTCTGAATGTAATTTTATTATTTGTTCTATCATCTATAATAGGATTGTACGTAAAGGTTGTTATATGTAACCATTTCTATATTCAATCAAAATGTGTTTACTGCCAGTCTCAATGACTTAGGCCTACGTCATGGGCAAGAATTCAGGCTTCAGAGGCAAATTATTTAGGTCTGACTCTTGGTTTGCTACTTCCTTAGCTTTGCAACCTTTGGCAAATTACTTAACCTTTACAAGTCTCTCTTTCCTCCTCTTTTTCTTCATCAGTAAATGAAGATAGTAATACTACCTAAGGATGAATTAAAATCACACAAGAAAGATGTTTTGCCTGTAATTTTTCATGCATAACAAATTTTCAGCTGTTATTTCTATAGATGATTAAACATCAGGGCATTTTACATGTTTCCAGGCTCATCATACTTTAAGTATAAGCTATCTCAAGGTAAATTTTATTTATCTTTATCGCTACCATTTTGGACCAAATTTTTATTTCATGTGTTAACTTCAAAATTAAATTTCACCAATGGGTTCCTGAAAAATCAAAGTCTTCATTGTATATAGAAAGTCAACCTCACAGCAGTTTTTAACTCTTTAACTTGCCGTTTAATTTACAGTTTAGTTTATAGGATAATCCAATGCATCAATAATTGAAACTGGAGCAAATCTGTCATTTGCAAACTGTTTCAAAATATACTAGACATTTAATTCTCCAAATGAAGAAAAATACATTTTAGACTGTCTTTAGGTTATTTTGATTGTAAACAGAAGAAAATTCAAGAGCAAAAGTTATTCATTCATGCCAATTGTTTTATATAAAAAGTAGAGTATCCTACATTAAAACAAAAATGATGCTTCATTTAGCATCTTCAACTACTGAAGTTTTTAAGGTATTTGTCAATAGGTATGATGTTGGAGATGGAGCATCCTGAGGAGGTGTTTGCATAAGTTACTGCTGTGTAATCCTGTGAGATACTTAACCTTAATGAAAATAATAATTTACATAGTGCAAGTCAGGGAGAAAAATTAAAACCCCAGTGCTTTGCTATTTGTTAGGGGTATCAGTTAATCATTACTCAGAATAAACATCATCATAAATTTGATAAAACTTTAAAAATGGTTTTCTGCTAAAGTGTGACAGTGTGTAGGTGGTGTTCTTGGGACTACATGGGGATAAGCCTCCAAAAGTCTGCATGAAATTCCACTTGTAAAAGCTGTTTGTTTCAAAGACAACTTTATCCCCATATTTCCTATGTTTACTTCTTTTTGAGCATGTTCAAACTGGGGAGGGAGGTGGCGAGGTTGCCCTTTTCTCCAGAGCATTGTTGTTCTCTGGAGCCCCCATCAATGTTGAAGTATAGGCATCAAAGGCAATCTTGCTAAATGGGGCCATAATTCGTTTATTACAGTAGCTCCTGGCAGCTATTGCTACTAAATACTGGCTTGGATTTAAAATACACAGTATTAAATATGACACACGTTTAGTAAAAATAAACTTTTAGAGATAAAATCTATGCAATAATAACAGACTTAGATTTTTTTAAACAAAACGGATGAAAGGAATTTTAAAAGAATTACGTAAGGATACTCCTTCAGGGATAGCAAAGAACTAGAACGTATCTGAAGTTATGTGCTGTGTGCTATGAGCCTCAGCATCACCTTTGTACTAACATTCACTTTTGTTGGAAGCATTGAAATAACTAGGACAATTACTCATTTCCATGATTACACTTCAACTTGTGATTTTAAAGACTCATATTAAATTTGACCTATCAAATTCATGTTATACAAAATAAAAGTTTTAAAAAAAGGAGAGCCGTGTTTATTCATGCTGGCTTCAAATCCAATCATGACCTAATTTAAAGACCATGTTTGAACGTTTTTCATTCATGCAACAATGTTGCCTACTATGTACTAGGCATTATTCTAAGTGCTAGGGATACAACAGTGAACTAGACAGATTCCTGTGTTCATGGGGTTCGCAGTTTATGGAAAAAAGACAATACCTGTGCTATTTATTTACTGCTTTATTTCTTATAACGAACCATGGGAGAGAAATCACTATTAACATCCCAATTTAACAAAATAGGAAATTAAGACACAGGGTCATTAAGCAATTTGGTCAAGGTGATGTAACTCATACATAGTGGGACTGAGATTTGAACCCAGCCAGTCTGGCTTGAGAGACTATGAGTTTAACCACTAAGCTCCACAGCAGTCGTATATGTAGAAAATGCTTTGGAGCTGGTAAGAACTAAGTTCAAATTCTGACTCCACAATTAATTATTGGTGCAACTTTGGGCAAATTTCTTAATTGTCTAAGCTTCCATTTCCTTGTCTCTTTGCAATTTAGTTTTGGAAATAGAAAGAAAATGGATTTTATAATATAATGAACGCTTTATGCCTGACACACAGTATGGGCTGACTCAGGAGATATTTATTGTTTGTGCTGGATAGTAGATGTGTAAGACAGAGTATGAATCCAAGGGCTTAGTAATTGGTGGGGAGAAAGAAGACCTGGCAGAGAAGAGCCTGCAAAGAGGGTCTCAGGCTACCATGCATTTACTTTGGGAATGTTTCTAACGAGTTGTCTGTGACTAAAAGGAGAAAGGTGAGCAACACTGACGATGTGGTCAGGCCATATGGCACCAGACCATTGTATGGAAGCAAATCATGAACTGGCAGTGATTACAGGAATACACACACACACACACACACACACACACACACATATACACACACACACATACACACACACATGTACATATGTATACATATTATGATACATATCATATGCATTATATCATATATATCGCATATATTGTGTATTATTGTGCTGTATATATAATATATATGATATATATCATAATACATATGATATATTATCATATATTATGGTATATATATCATATATATTATGATATATATCATCTATTATGATATATTACAGGAATATATATATATGATATATTCCAAAGGGAGAAAAAGTAAACAGATTTGCAGTCCTATTCATATTCACTGTATGGAAAAGCTGAGTTTTAATGTGAGACCTGACATGTCAATAGTACCTCAGGGTATTGTCGCCTGCTCTATTACACCATGTTTAATTCTGAATGTAATGATTTCAGTGACAGCACTGGGGAAGAATTTTTCATGATTGAATTGTGAGTAAGGAAGTTGTGACAGAATAGTATTTCATTTCACTAAGTAGCCCTTCTTGCCCCCAGGAGGTGGCATGTTTAAGAAACCACAATCAGGCAACACTCTGGAACACCCATCCATCAACATCCATGACTGCCCATCAGCTCTCCTTGGCCAAATCTGGGTGTGAAATGCAGCCCCACACAGATAACGATCATGTACACATTTGCTGTATAATGCCTGGATAGATGTTGTATTTTATCCACCTCTCTCTCCCTCTCCCCACTCCAATTGTGTAACTTTTGTATTTAAAAAAATTAGCAACAAAATAGAAGTAGGAAGTATAATACCCAAGAAAGGATCCTCATTTTGTTTTTAATAATATAGCCTTTGAAATTGGACTACTAAACATGAAAAATTACCAATTGTATTCTTTCACATTTATTTAAAATTGGTGCCATCTTTCCAAGTGATCTAGAAATTAACATATGTTCTTAGTTTAAATGCTTGTTTTAATCTGTAAATTGTTTTTCAGGCCACAGGTATATTATCTGTAAGGCAAAATTTGGTTGGTCTATATGCCTATATTGGAATCCCCTATGCCTTCTTTAATCTCTTTCTCTCCTTATACATACAGGTGTGAATACAGAGAAATGCACATACCTTCATCCCTTAGCCTCCCAGCCTGGAATTAGGAGGAAGACTGTAAAAATATTTAATCTTTTAAGATTTTATTTTTTCCAACCTTGGCTCAGTGGGCCTGAGCTTTTTGCATGGCTTCTTCATAGTAATGTCACTTGTAATTTGGCAAGAGAAATCTACCTCATACTTATACTATTATTATATGTGAGAGGAAATTTTACTCTCAACCATTCATTTTAGACCTGAGAACTCATTGCAGGCAAAGCCCTATATAGGTACTGTTGTACAGAAGAATATGTTGCATTTTTAAAAATTAATTTTTTAGCCAGTTGTTAGCTTTGGAATATTTTTACATTAAAAACACAATATTTTATGTGGTGATTAGCTTCCAAGGTAGTCCAGGAAGGCCACTAATTAGCATATAGAATGGTCAGTGTGGTTGTATATTGTTGCTAATAGAATGATTCTGACTTCACTTTGCTGTATCTAGAATCTGGAAGAACATATTTGCCATGAAGAAGAAGTAGGTCCCTGTAATTGAAGTCACTGTTTCCCCTTGTGCTCTGTAATGAAGAGTGTATATCAGGACACCTCAATTTCTCTCATCTCTTGGGCACGTCATCTGAAAATCAAGTGGCCATGGTCTGTGCTCCACCTATGCCCTACTTAGTAAGAGTAACACTGATTGTGTGAGCCTTGATTAATCACCAGAAAATTCCGAACAAAACTTTTTCCCCATCTACGGCCATGCTACCCTGACCAAGCCTGAACCTGTCTGATCTCAAAAGCTAAGCAGGGTCAGGCCTGGTTAGTACTTGGATGGGACACCACCTAGG